TTCTTGAAAGTGAGAGTAAAACTGCGTTCCAGCAGATTTGTGCCAGTTTACAATGAAGCCAGTGAAACGTGTGAGTACGAATTTCACCATACTCTCGCCAGCATTTGATATTACTACTTTTTATTTTGCTAATTTAAAAAAGGTTCTTATTTTAATATATATTTTCCTATATCTGTTTTCCTTGATTATTTCTTCTGCTGGGAAATGCCATTTCATGTCCCTTCTGCAATTTACCTTTGCGGGTTGTCTTAATATTCTTATTTTTTTTCATGGGCTGTATATTAACCGTTCCTCATATGCACTGTATTTATTCAATCTGTTTTACATTTCTGGTTATACTGTCATCTAAAACAATTTAGTGCTTTTATACAGTTCAGATCTTATCAAGTCAATTTCTCCTATTACATGTGTTCTTTTAAAATCCTCTCCTTGTCTTATCTCCACAACTTTATTTTATTTTATTTTATTTATTTGAGATAAGGTCTTGCTCTGTTGCCCAGGCTGGAGTGCAGTGGTGCAATCATAGCTCATTGCAGCCTCAAACTCCTGAGCTTAAGTGATCCTCCTGCCTCAGCGTCCTGAGTAGCTGGAACTACAGGTGTGCACCACCACACTCCGCTAGTTGATTTCTTTTAATTTTTGGTAGAGATGGGGGTCTCACTATGTTGCCTATGCTTCCGTGACTTAAATAAGAATTTAATTCTGCTTTAGCTTTCTGATTTTCATTTCTGTATCTAGCTATTTAATCCATTCATTTTGATGTATGATCTTTACATTGATCTCTATCCTAAGTGCTAACTAGTTATCCAAGACTAAATATATTTGAAGAAACCCTTGTGTAACACAAGACAGTAGACTATGCCTATATAAAGAGTTCGTGTGTGCTGGGGCATGGTTCCAGGTTCCCTGGGAAGAGACAGGGAAGCAGCAGCCCCAAAGGACTTAAAATGTGATGTTCAGTGAGAAAAGTGGGTATGACTAGAATAAAGCATGGGAGTGCATGGGAATGTTCCCGAGGTGTTTCTACCTTGCCCTTTCCGTGCATAAACAACACTGGAGAATGAAATCACTTCCGAAAATGGTAACTCCTTGACCCAGAGGTTTTTCTAGCTCGGTAGAGTCCTTTTAGTGTTTCAGGAATGAGGGCTCTCAGCTGAACGAGTGCAATACATATACTGAGCACCCGTTGAGTGTATGTAGAGTGCTATGCTAAGCACCTTGTGTGGGTACCTTGTGGGATGCAAAATAGTCCTGGGGCAACCACGAGTTAAGCTGAGTGATGAAATAACGGAGATGAGAAGATTAATCCGAGCAGATAACCCTGGTGTGGAGTGAGTGTGGCTCTGCACCTCTAAAGGGCTGTGTCCACCCTCTGCCTTCCTCCCTACCTCTAAGTTGGCCGAAGCTTCTGATCACACAGACAAGAATCTCAGTTTGCTTTCTTGCCGCCAGGAAGCCAAGTTCACTCAAGCTCTCCCAAAGCTTTTGCAAGAGCGGGTCTTAAATCCTGGCGGGGGGCACGTGCACTCATTTAAGATTTAAAAAGGCATCGGAAATGCCTGTCCCCGATGCCCACTGCTGGCCACAAACCTGAAGACCCAAGCGACCACACTTGGTAGGCACTTCTGCCCTTCTGGTCTGGTTCCCACCCGCCCATCCCGAATCGCGGTTATTTTTCCCGGTGCTCACAGCATGCAGACCACAGCCTGTGGCCGCTAGTGTTTCCTTTGCTAGGACCACGTGTAATTGTCTTGGCTTCTCATCTTTTGACGGGCAGGCAGGTGGACAGGGACTTGCCCTATATCAACCGGGTCCCCAGTTTGGCAGGAGTGGATAAGTCTTGAAAGAGAAAAAGGATCTGGGCCATTTAACCGTGGCATGGCAGGTCCAAATCCCCAAACGTGTCACTAGTGACGTCCCACGTGGCAGATTCGCTCTCAGGGAAGCCCGGCACCGTTTCTGTCCGGGACACCCTCCCCCTGCCCACCCTCCGCTCCGGGAATTCACCCTCGGGGCCGCCCCGCCTCGCTCCCTCCCACAGCCCGGCGGACCGGGGACGAGAAGGGCAGGCGCTCCCTGCAGAGTCCCTGGGGCGCCCGTGGCTCGGGGTGCGCGGTGGGACTCGGTGAAGCCGGCGTCCTCGCCCCAGAGCCGCGGCTCCGGGGCCGCTGGAGGAGCCAGAGTGGCACCCAGATGACTGATCGTCGCGGAGAAAGTGCCCCGGGACTGTGACCCCCGCGCCGGGGGGCGGGCGCAGGGCGTGGCTGAGGCGCAGGAAGATGCCGCGATGGGACCGGGAAAAAACCACCGACCCCAAAACACCCACTGTGTTTCTCAACCTGAGTTCCCCGGTAGCGGCCGAAGGACCCCAAAGGCTGCATGGCGCCCCCCTGGCCCCCACCCACCGGGGCGTCGCTTCGCGTGGGTGGGCTTCGCGTTCCCTCTGGGGTTTCAGAGCCACCACGTGACTTCCATGAAGCGCGGGGCGCCGGCGGAAAGTCGCAGCAGGGGTGGATTTGGGACCCCGAGGTGCGGAGAGAGGGCGGGCAGAGGAGGAAACGAGGCGGGGGTGGGAGAAGGAGGGCGGGGCAGAAGTGGGACGGGAAGGACCGCTGCCGGGACTGGCGCGCTGGG